CGATAGATCAATTGATTGCAGTGGTCCACCTACTCTAGCGGAAGCGAAGCAACGATACATCGCTGCAAGTACCGACAGATAATTCGAGTGTATCGAATCCACAATCAAAATGCAAAAAAAGTCTATTCCCCACCGAATTTGAACCACTAACTCGCCTTTAATGAAAGCACGCTAACCACTACAAGGTACCACCAATGCAAATTGGCAATTTCTAGGACCTTGAATGTCGGTAATTTAAATTTTCAGGCTTCCATAACTCCTTACAGAGAAGCGTTCAGGAGATAAAGAGCAGAACCGGCACAGATCGTATGGAAGCAGGATGGACTTCGTTTTTGGGGCGAAAACGCAAAGAGGATGCCGTTTTTGTTGCCAAAATGCGACGTTTTTTTTAGTCAACATTTCGTTCTTTTTTAGCGTTTTTTACGTTCTGGCCTGAGAGTCAAAGGGGACTTTGTAAAATTTAGCGAAAGTCAGGGGGACTTCGTTTTGAAGAAGCCTAGAAAGAAACTCATGCCGGAGCCTGATAAGGAGTGCAAATTTGAGTTCAGCGTTTAAAAGTGCTTTAGACGATACGCAACTCCATATCAAATGCCAGCGACTATTGAAAATACTTCCTAAAAGATACTGACGCCATGGCTCATAACAAGCCAAACTCGCAGTGAGCGATGACAGTCAGAATCTCCTACGAACGTTCAGCCAGACTATTGTACTGCAAATAATGACGCAACGTCGGTTGAAATTTCTGTTCCTGCTTGTCACTGTACTCTGGATATGATAATACGAAATAATGGTTTTATCAGAGAGGTGCTTACTGTCCAGATCTCCGCAGAACATCTTGTGCTGTAGTTTTTGCTTGACATAGTACTCAAATACGAAAAATGCACAATGAAAGAACAAAAACATACTTGAGTCATCTGTGGTGTGCACGACAACAACTAATTTAAGATCTCTATTACTGTACACTATAAATCTAGCCAAAGAATTCGAGCGTCAAGACATAGAACATCACTCATATACGTCTTCTCGCTCACAAATGTACTTGAAAACATCGCGTGGTGTTTTCAACTTTTCTGAGTCTTCCAAAGGAATTTCAAAGCCAAATTCGTCTTCCACTGCCATCATTATCTCCACCTGAAAAACAGCATCAGGTTTCAACGTCTACGAATGCAAGAAAATATACCTGATCCAAAGAGTCGAATCCAAGATCTTTGCTAAAATCGGCTTCAAGTTTGAGCATCGTTTCCTTGTCAGCTGGAAACCGATCCCATGCGCGGATAGCTTTCAATACGCGTTCTTCAACCTGTAATAACCATAAACATACAAATCTTTTGAAAAAGAACAGAAAGATCGTTAAAATGCAAGTGATTTAAAAACCACAACTGCCGTCGTGGAACAATTATCTCTACGGAATTAGAACCTTCGCATTGTTTGAGCTTTTTCAAAAACTCTTGCATCCTCTTGAACCCAAATGTCTACCTCATATTTTGAGCTGAGATAGCTAGTAATAGAAGAGGTTTGTACAATCTCTAGATATTCACAAGCAAAGAGACAATCGAGCGCACTTGGAACAAAGATCATATAATCAAAGAAAGTTGAAAATATCATTGTTTGAACATTTTCACTGTTATTAGATGGAAGCGAAAAATAATCAAGATCACATATCAACTAGAGAGTGCAAGAGTAAAATTGCAGAAATTACTATACAACATTTCAATGAAAACGCACCTAGATATTCTACTAGCTACTCGATGTATCGATAAATAAATATGTAGGTATATAAGAATGTACTAGCCTATGCAAAAGTCATAAGTATGTCATTCTCCCTCCTCCTCACCTTTCTTTGGAACTTAACACAATGACATACGGAAAAATCTCAGAACTTCCTTTCAATGTTTGCGAG